TGACAATTACTTTATTGTGTTGTAATGCATCACTCAAATGTTGTGCTCCAACAGGTCCAATGTGATTACTTTCAAGATTTAGTGTGATGAGCGTCTAGATGAAAAGGTAGAGATAAAGACACGACATAATTTAAGAGAGAGTGACAATTACTGTGTTGTGTCGTAGTGCATCACCTAAATGTTGCGCACCAACATGCTCGATTTGATTAAAATGGAGATCTAATGTGGTTAGTGTCTAGATAAAAAGGTGGAGGTACAAACATGACACAGTTAAATAGAGAATGGCAATTACGGTGTTGTGTTGTAATGCATTAGCGAAATGTTGTGCTGCAATATCGTCGATGGCATTAGATTCGAGATATAGTGTGGTGAGTCCCTAGATGAAAATGTGAAGATAAAGACATGCTACAGTCAAAGAGAGATAATTATAATTACTGTGTTGTGTCGCAATGCATCACTCATATGTTGTGCTCCAACAGCTCCAATATAATTACTTTTGAGATTTAGCGTAGCAAGTGTCTACATAAAAAGGTCGAGATAAAGACACAATACAATTAAAGCGAAAGAGACAGAGTGACAATCACCATGTTGTGCTGTAATGCATTACCCAAATGCTGTGCTCCATCAGCGTACATGTTATTATTTGCGAGATTTAGTGTGACGAGTGTCTAGATGAGAAGGCAGTGGTGGTAAAGGCACGATACAGTTAAAGAAAGAATAATGATTACTGTGTTGTGTTGTAATGCATCACACAAATATTGTGCTCCAAGGGGTGTGATGTTATTACCTTCGAGATCTAGTGTAATGAGTTTCTAGATGCAAAGATGGAGGTAAATACACGATATATTTAAAGGGGAAAATGGCAATTACTGTGTTGTGTCGTAATGCATTACCAACATGTTGTGCACCAGCATCTTGGATTTTATTAAAGTGCAGATCTAGCGTAGTTAGTGTCTAAATGAAAATGTGAAGGTAAAGACATGGTATAATTAAATAAAGACAGAGAGTGGCAATTACTGTGTTATACTGTAATGCATCACTTAAATGTTGTGCTCCAACATCTCGAATTTCATTCATCCAGAGCTCTAGTGTGGTTAGTGTCTAGATGAAAAAGTACAGGTAACGATACGATACAGTTAAAGAGAGATAGTAGTAGTTACTTTGTTGTGCTGTAATGCATCAGCCAAATGTTGTACTCCAGTATCTCCGATTTTATTACGTGAGATATCGAGTGTGATGAGAGTCTAGATGAGAAAGTGAAAATAAAGATATGTTATAGTTAAAGAGAGAATGACAATTACTGCGTTGTGCTGCAATGCATTACTCATATGTTTTGCTCCAACATCTCCGATTTGATTCTCAAGGAGAAGGAGTTTCGTGAGTGTCTAGATGAGAAAATGATGGTAAATAGATGATATAGATGAAGAGAGAATGACACTTACTGTGTTATGTCGTAATCCATTCGCCAAATATTCTGCTCCAACAGGTCCAATAGAATTCTGATTGAGATTTAGTGTGAGGAGTGTCTAGATAAAAAAGTAGAGATAAAGACATGATACATTTAGAAACGGAGTGGCAATTACTGTGTTGCACTGTAATGCAGTACCCAAATGTTGTGCTTCAAGATCTCCGATTTCATTTTCTGAGAGATCTAGAGAGGTCAGTGTCTAAATGAAAAGATGCAAGAAAGATATAAGATGAACGAAAAGGCAGAATAATTGGTTGCTGTTATTTGCGTTTAATTTAGTGAAATGAATATGTCTTTGACGTAGTACGCTGTACAGTGCTCAAGATTGTCGTATGAACATTCAGGCGAAAAAGATACTACGAGGAGTGAAGCATGCTTAGAAATTTGTCACCTGTTAGTTTCTGTTATTCTTCTATAGGGTTACATCATGTTTGTAGATGACAATGTAGTACAGAGATAGTTTCAACTGTATTAGAGTAAGGTGAATTATTTATTAGTATCCTATGAATATGACAAAGTTAATGTGGGGGTTGTTGTAAGTCAATCTTCTTCCTCTTTACATCCAGTCTTCCATACTATCAGATGGACATTTATGTAAGATTAAGAGTGCTTGGATACATGTGAAAAAATAAATAATAATTTTTTGTCTCTTTTCTTCGTTCTTATCTAAATATTGTATGTCGATGACATCGTATCTAGTTTGAAACGTGAAATATTTAGCTGAGATTGAAAGGAATGCAAAATAATTTGAAAGTCAATAGATAAAAATTAGACTGTGATGATAGAAAAAAGTTTACCCGATATCGATCATAAGTGTCTATGATGCTATCGAGGTGTCGACACACATTTCTCATTGAGCATACAATTGTGTAAGCCGTTTGATGATCCAAAACTCGGTAGATAATTTCTACCGGTAATGTAAGAAAGTTGACGGCAGTTTGGTTTACCATTATAGATTGTTGATGAACTATTTGCTGTGTATAGGTTTATATGTTGATTGTATAATGTAGTGTTGTTTTTTCTTCCCATTCAATAAATACATGTGCGTCATGGATCATATATTTTATATGAGGTCGCAATTACTAGTCAGACGAAAAAAATGAAAAATAAATAGGTCACTAAATCAATGACAGAATGGTAATAAGAATAATATAACTAATGCTTTTATTATGATTATTTTAGGGATACGAAATGATATATAATAGGCATACCTCTTGAAAAAAATAAAAGATGAAAATTATTAATAGTATAAATGTTGTGCTTCGCACTGCCTTGATAAATCATGCTGCATTTGCTTTTTAAAATAAATGAACATCATTTTTTCAGTCATTATATAAACGTGAATAATCGTTTTTTGTATTTATTTCAATTTTTACACAGAAAAGAAAGAACAGTTACATCATACAAACAAAAACAAAAAAAACGAAATCTAAGATTTCCATAATTTTAATGTTCCATCTTCTGAAAATGTTGCTAGTAGATTTTGATGCGGATGATGACATATTCCAATAACATCTTTCTCATGAACCTACAAAATAAAATTATTAAAAATTAATTTTCATCAATAATAATCTTTAAACTTACCGATAAAACTTTCTCAAGTTTACCAGATTGTACACTAAAGCAATAAAGCATCATATCTTCACCACAACAATAAATCCATTCACCACGCGGTGATACACAACAACTAATAAAATCACCATTTTCTTTTTTTCCATTAGTAAAACTTCTTACAATCTATTTTTCCAAGAAAACAAAAAGTGAATAATATTCGTTTTGAAATTAGATTTCTAGACTATTGTACATACTTGTCCTTGCATATTCATAATAACAACAGTATTACTTCGATTACATACAACAAATTGTTCAGGATTTTTTGCTAATAAATGAACACTATTAACAGTTATATCTGTACTTCCAAATGATTTAAATGTTGAAGTACATTCAGATGTTTTCATACTCCATAATTTCACCGATCCATCTGAACTTGCACTTAAAAAAAAAATTTTATTTCATCATTAATCTTGTCATTCAACAAACCTTAAAACATTATGATTATCGATTGTAAAAATCGCATTATTAACAAAAGAAACATGCCCACGAAATTCTTTTATTGATTTGCCAGATTTTAATCCATGTATTCTATAAATAGTTGTAATTAGTTATAATTTAATTAAATTCTCTTTTTACCGAATAAAATGATCAAATGAAGTACTTAATAATTGTGTATTATCTTTTGAAAATGTTAAACTTGTTATACCTTTTAAATGTGCTTTATCAAATTTTCTCAAACATTGTCCAGTTAAAATTTTCCAAACCTATTTTGGATAATTTATTTATTTAATTCGAATAATAATAATCAATAATATTACTTTAATTTGTCCGTCTTGACTACCTGATGCTAACATTTCTGAATCTCGACTAAAACATAATGCTAAAACAGCACCATCCATAACCATAAATTGTTCTTGTGCTTGATATTTAAGATCTTTACGAATTTTTCCTGTGGTAAAATTCCATACTTCAATAATTCCATCGATTGATCCAGTTACAAGGTATTGACCATCAGGTGAAAAACGTGCACATTCAACATGAGCTTTCGTACCAAACTACAACAAAAAAATAATGAATTTTCCGTATGTCAAAAAAAAAAATAATACAAACTTTCATGACACGACCTAATTGACTTGGATATTTCTCTTCTTCTTGTTCACGTACTTGAGCTTTACCACGAAACAAATCAATTGAAGTACCTAAAAACAAATCAGTCATATATGATAATTAATTGAATTAAATGGATTTCTACCTGGTGGTAAAAGCCCTTGATGTTGTTGCCATTTAAGTGCTTGACCCAAAAGAGCAAGTAAACGTGAAGCAGGTACAACACTGACTTCACCTGAAAGAGCTGTGGCAATAGCTTGACGACGTTTTTCTTTATTTTGTCCTTCAGCATAAGCCTAATAAACAAAAAAAAAGAAAAATTATTATTTCTAATTAAATATAAACTAACTTCTCTTGGATCGAAATAAGAACGTGTGAGTAAATCTTCTAAATGAACATAACGATCAGGTTGTTGTTGTTTAAGTATTATCATTGGATCTGTTTGACGTAACAAAGTACGTGCTGCTCCTAATTCACGTAATTCAATTAATTCAATAACAATCTATATTAAAATAAATCTCAAAAAATTTTGTTTTTCTATAAATTATTCTTACTTGTTCATAGAGATCAATGAGTTTATTATCAGGTAATTTAAGTGATTGAATAGTTTGTAAAACAGTATCCCAATGTCCATTATTTATTTCACTACTAAAACTTTCAATTGAATCAACAGTATTTAATGATATACCACTTTCTTCCTAAATGGAATTATATATACCATTAAAATAAATTTTTTTTTCTTACTTGTAATTGACTTAAAGTACGTAATAGATTATTTTCTTTGAGATATTGTTGTATGAGACGAATAACACTAAGAAAAAAGAGTATGAATAGATCTATATAATTATATCTTAAACTTACTCAGCTGATTCAATTTCAAGTGACATATTTTATTTGTGTATATCTTAAAAACTTTATCTAAAAAACAAAAATAAAATTCATGACTATTTCACAGATTTCCATTAGGATTAGTTTTCTTTTCTAAACGATTTTCAATTAATTTAACAACTTCATTTAATTCTAATTGATAAATATGTAAACCTTTTGTTGTTGCAATTATAATTTCATCAATACCATCATTCGTAAAATCATATGCTAGTATACCATATGCAGATGCTGATAATGATAAAACACGACAAACAGGAAATGTTTCACCAATAAATGTTAAACCATCGGTCGCATTAGATTTACAATTATCTATTGGTATACGACAAATAAAACATGATTTACCAAAGGTACCTAATATTATTTCATTTTTTCCATCAAGATCAATATCACATATACAACTTGATGTAATACAATCTTGAGAATCAGTACCAGTTAGTACAACTGAATCAGTCAAATGATTTTTAATAACATCTCTATAAATAACAGCTTGTTCAAGAGCACTAGTGACAAGTAAATGAGGTTGTTCATCTAGAAAATATTGTCATTTTATATTTAAAATTATTTGTATAATATATATGTACCTTCACGTGGTTTTTGATTATGATAGAAAAATTTCACAGTACTTATAAAACTATCATATTCAAGTGTTTTATGTACAGTTTTTGGTGATCCATCTGTTGGTACTTCTGTTATATATAAATCAAGTAAACCATTTGAATGACCACATGCAATTAATCGTTGTTTTAATTGATTTGTTTGAGGATCAGATATTGTCAATATATCCATTGCACATACACTAACATAATAGAAATTTCTTTAAATTATATTCAACAATTTTGTCTTACTTTCCAGTCGTATGTTTAAGTTCGGGAAGATAAAAATCAATTATTCTGTTTATCTCTTGTAATGATCGTTCATTTTTCTATAGAATAAAATAAAAATATTCAATCACATTTGAAAACTAGTAATATACTAATCGCTCAAGTTCTCAATTTTCTTTTTCGAATCACCCTTCATCAATCTTATGACACATAGCACTATTTTATTTTCTTACTTCACTATAAAACGATAATTTATCACCTCCTGCGACGACTAGAATAACTTCATTTTCATTAGTTGTTACGTTTTTCGTACTAAAAAAATATTAGATATTGAATTATTTTAAATAATTTCCTTAACATACATTATTGTTTTAAGAAATTTCGGAGCATATGTCATTGGACGATTTTGCATTGATGATTCTAAATAAAATATGTAAAGACAACAAGATTTTTTCATAGTATATTACTTGTATTATTATCTACAATTTGAACACGATCGAAATAAAAACTTGTACAATCATCACTATTCTAATTATAAAATGAAAAAAAATCTAGTCGAAGTAAAATAAAATCATAACATACCGATGGACCAGTAGTTTTAGCATAACCATATATGATTGCTGGAGATGTATTATGTTTTGATATAGGTAATATTTCCACACTTAATATTCGGCAATCAGCTAAGAAATTAAATCGAAAAATTAAAATAATTTATTGAAATCATATAATTTACATTGAAAATCTTGTAAAGTTATTGGATGTGCTTTACATTCATTTGTTCCTTGATTATATTCAACACCAACACCAGCACCATCGAGACCAATAAGAAAGATTTGTTGATTTCCAGTTGTAGGATTTCGATATAAATGGAGAGTATTTATATTCGGTTGACATTTAAGAGGTTGAAAAAATATTTCTTTTAATGAAAACATTATCTATAATAATAATCTATACGTTTAAAATTCATGTTCTGTCTTCACTCCTATTTAAATTCGGAATTAAAAGAAAGTCAAATCTAAATTTAAATTATGACTTTTACACAATAATCTCTAATCCAAGAGTTCATTTATCTAGGAAACGATAATAAATTCCTCTCAATTATTAAAAAATATTTTTTTACCAAAAATTATCAGTTATTTTTTTGACTTACACAAATAACTTAAGATATGAAAAATTTTAACGAAAAGCGACAAATCCATGAATTCATTCATTTGATTGAAAGAAAGAATGGCAAATAGGTAAAAGTCAAACGAACGAATCAGAATCTTTTATGTTCTGTCGACATGTTTATGATAAACTGTGTGTATGTGTATTTATGTTTTTTTTTCTCTATGATTGTCTTTTTAAAAGAATTACTTTTCAGATTCGAAAAAAAACGTTTCATTAAATTTTAATAAAATTAAACAATGTCATCAATTGGTTCTGGTGTATGTTGAAATTTATTTTATTAAATAAAAAAAAATACCGATAATAAATATTTCTTTGATTAGTATGATTTAAGTGCATCACAATTTTCACCTGATGGTCGAGTTTTTCAAGTTGAATATGCCAATAAAGCTGTTGAAGCAAGTGGAACAGTTGTAGCATTACGATGCAAAGATGGTGTCGCTTTTGCTGTAGAAAAAATTATAACATCACGTCTCTATGAATCCGGTTCAAATAAACGTATTCATAATGTTGATAAACATATTGGAATGGTTTGTTTTTTGAAAGAAAAAAAATTTCTTTAATCGAACGATTTTTTCGTGTAGGCTGTTGCTGGTCTTCTTGCTGATGCTCGACAACTTTTAAGTGTTGCTCGTGATGAAGCTAAACAATATAAACATGATTATGGTGTATCAATTCCAGTTAAAGTATGTACAATAAAATAAGATTATTTATTCAGAAAAAAAATATTTCCAATTTTATTTTAGTATTTAGCAGATCGTCTTGCGATGTATATGCATGCTTATACTTTATATGGTTTTGTTCGACCATTTGGTTGTTTTATTCTCTTAGCTGCTTATGAAAGTGATGGTCCACAATTATATGGTGTTGAACCATCCGGTGTGACTTATGTAAAAAGAATTGAAGAAAAAATAAACTCGAATTTTAGTTTTTTTCTGTTATTATAGGGTTATTATGGTATTGCAGTTGGTAAAGCACAACAAACAGCTAAGACTGAAATAGAAAAACTTAAAGTATAATGAAGAAAATAAAATAATTTTATATTTACTTTTTGATTTTTAGTTGTCGGAATTAAAATTAGAAGATGCTGTTAAAGAAGCAGCTAAAATGTAAATAAAAACAAACGACAATTTTAATAAATAATTGAATTTCTTTTATTTAGTATTTATCAAGTACATGATGAAGTAAAAGATCGTATGTTTGAATTAGAATTAAGCTGGGTAGGACAACGTAAGTAGAATTAAATATAGTTTTCGATTACCTATGATTTATATGAATATTTAGTTAATGATGGTAAACATGAAAGAGTACCAACACATATCTTTGATGATGCTGAAAAATTTGCTAAGGTATGTATTATAATGATTTTATTTGATAATAGAAATTTATAATGATTTATTTTAGGCTTCATTGGAAGAAGCAGATGATGAAGATGATGAAATGTAGAACAATTTATAAAATTCATTCTTTTTTCTTCTGTGCCCGTCTAACGTGTCGTTGATCTTTCACTACTTTTTTTTTCTTCTTGTTGTTCTGTTTTTTCTTCTTTTTTTATGATTATTATTCTGGACGACTAAATATGATCACAGATGAAAACTTGTTCATAATCAGAACTGTTAACCGTATTCCAGAAATAGAATCATTTTCTTACAAAGATTTTCATTCAACAAAATCAGAAGTCACAAAGATTTTTACGGCAATATTATACAATAAACTAAGAAAGAAATATTACGTTATTTAAAATTTAAAGTATCGAGTTTCTTCTAAGCAATCTTGGGACAGGGCATGGAATATACGATAGTTCTATTCACATAGAATCGACAGAACGGTAGTTGCGATCTACTTTTGTTATTTTTTGGTATTACGAGATAACTCGTCTTATTTTCGTGACGAAGTGAACTCGAGACTACAACATGTTAAGCCTTGAATCTTTGGATGTGTATAATTAATTTAAATCAGTACTAATGAACATACTGAAACACGTAATGGAGTATATGAACGTTTTGAAAAATTATTTATTGTCATTAACTAAGATTATCAATCAATTAATTCAGATATTCGTTCTACAATTTAAGTAACCCCTACCAAAGTACGAAATCAAGATAACGTTGAATAGAGCACAGTACGGTACGTGATAGTACAGAATAATCAGGCATTCCGGCAAGATGTACCATGACAGGTTTCTGTTTGTAAAGATGACAAGGCTCTCATTTCTACAATGAATAATGGACTTTAACTTTAAAGTACTGAAATCGATAACCCAGAACGAAATCTATAATTCTACATAGAGCCCATGTTGGTATATTTTATGGTTCGAAAGTTATACGCATATAAGTCATTCAACAGTAAAATAATCTTTATTATATTCTCTACTTCAACACATAAAACAATACAGATAAATAAAAATTGCATTTGTTTCTTTTGGTTCGTGTAATCATGTTGATTTCTTAACAAACATTTGTATTTAAGTCCACATCAGCTGGTAACTGTGATGGTTTTTTTCTGATAAAAAATCATTTTTAGAATTTCAATCATATTCGTTAAATTCTTTTGTATAGCTGAATCGGTTAATTTACCTGTAATATCAACTGCACCATTCAATATAGCTAAACGATGTTCATTGTTTAAGATATTGTTACTAACTTATACGTATTCATTTAAATATTTCAGTAAGTAAATCATCAACTTTATTAATAATTCCAGCTTATATTTCAACAAATTTGCAATCATATCGAGAAATTCAAAAAAGAGCTTTCTAAACTTATTTTTTTTAAAGTACAACATCAGATTCATTCCCAATTAAAATAATTGATATCAAATGTTTTACTGGTGTTATTTTTATTAATTAAATCGCTATTTGAAAGGATAGACGTTCACAGTTTAGATAATTGACAAAAGATTTTAAATTCACCGATTATAATAACTTTAAACTAGTTTTGTACATAAACTAACTGCTTGAATTGTTCTCAGTCTATTATTTTCTTCTTTTAGCTCTAAAAACTTTGTAGTTAATATTTATCTATTCTGAAGCATATTTCTAAGCTTACAACTTTCTTGATAAAAGAACCAATAGAATCAGTTTAAAACCATTTTGTAGTGCATGTTTTACTGGAGAAAACTTTATTATTCTGAGTGACTCAAGATTTCTGATCCATTCCTTATATAGCACGAGATGAAAGAATTAATGGTATCGAAAACAATGCATTCCATCGTAGTTTATGAAAATTTTTTCATTAAAATTAATAAACAAAAATTGTAATTATAAACATGTATCAGCACAAGAATTCCAACTTTTTATTAAATAATGTGAATTTAGATGTGAAGTTATTCTTAATCCAAAAGATCCATATCCTATATTGAATGCACCATATTAATTATATCTTAGTATGAAAATATCAAATAATAAGTTTATTGATGTATATATATAAGAATAAAATCTTATTGTCTATATGATATTTATGAAATCTTCTATTAAAAGTATCCGAGTTGGAATAATGATAAAAAACAATATTATGATGACATTTTGTGGAAATCCCTAAACAAGGAAAAAATAATATTAATATATTGCTTGCGGTTGATCTGTAAATGATCTTTCTAATGATCTTGAAAATGCATAAGTGTTGCCAGCTGTTGGCTTCCTAAGTCGGTGCAATAAATAGAAAGAAAAACAAATTGCCATTTTTATACTACTAGATAACAAGCAGATGATTCAAATACAATATTACTAACTCTATTTTACTCATTTTCCTAATGAATTTATAGTCATGAAGAAAATAATATCGAATGGTGTCAGACAAGAGAAAGTAATGGTTCAAAATTGACCAATTAGAATACAGTAAACAAAACTGTATCAGTCCTATCTGCCTGACATATGTGAGATAAAGACTATATTTGTTGTTCTATCTAATATTCTTCTTTTTTCTTGTTTTAATTGAAAAATATTTAATATTTATATTTCAAGATGATCCATCTCAATTACTGTCTACAATATATTTTGAAATAACCATATAAGAAAAAAAAGAAATTACTTTTAAATAACAAAATATACAATCTATACTGAGATGGATCCACCGGGTGATGATAATTCAACGACAGTACAAAAGCCATTAATGGATGTCACGGAAACGGATGCCTATCGAGAAAAAATCATAGCATTTGTTAATCCAAAATCGTATGTTATTAAATCTATATATTGTTTTGACAGTATCTTTCAAAACCACAAAAAAAAAATCATTTTTTTTATTTAGTGGTGGTTTACAAGGTCAAGTAGTATTCGAACAATTACGAGCTCAAATAGGTGAAGCAAATGTTTATGATTTAGTTAAAGATCATGGTCCGCAAAAAGGTTTAAAAGATAATCAACATGAAAAAAATTTACGAATCATTGGTTCGTAAAAACTCATTCGTTTTTCATATAAAATTTAATTTTTTAATTTAAATAGCATGTGGTGGTGATGGTACAGTTGGTTGGGTTCTATCTGCACTTGATACATCACAAATGCAATATATGGATTTTATTAGTGTTGGTGTTATTCCATTAGGTACAGGTAATGATATGGCTAGATTTCTTGGCTGGGGTGTTGGTTATCGTGGTGAAGGATTAGGACCAGCTATACAATCATTAGCTAAATCAGAATCACGTTTACTTGATCGATGGCAAATTGATGTTAAACCTACGGAAGATTCAGGAACTGCTAATTTAAAAGTTAGTTTTATAAAAAACAAAAAAAAATTAATGAAAAATATTTTCTTTTAGATTCCTCAACCTGTTTTTAATAATTATCTTAGTTTTGGTGCTGATGCACAGGTAAATTCTATTACAACAATATTTTCACTGTTTTTTTAAATATTATAGATTGCGCTTGACTTTCATGAAAAACGTAATGCAAGTCCACGTCGTTATGCTAATCGATTATTTAATAAATTAGCATATGGTTGTATTAGTTGGTATGTTAATTCTTCTATTTTGACATTTAACATTTATTTGTTTTATTAGTCATACATTTTTTGATCGTCGTTATTTATTTGGAAATATTGCTAGCCATTTTGAACTTCATGTTGATGGACGAAATATGGATGATGATCTATTTCGTTTTCGTCCTGATGCTATACTTATATTAAATATAGCATCATATGCTGCCGGAACAAATCCTTGGCAAGGCATTTATGATAATCTTTGGTGTGCTAGATCACAAGCTGATGATGATCGATTTCGTGAACAAAGTTGTTCAGATGGTTATTTAGAAATAATTGGTTTCAAACATTTTGAACTAGCAAGAATTCGTTTAGGACGTCGTGGTCATCGTATAGCTCAGGGTAGGAATTTTTTTCTTCTAATCATAAATTATAATTGAATTTTTATTAGGAAGTGAAATAAAATTAATTATGAGACGAGATGTACCGATGGAAATAGATGGTGAACCTTTTTTACTTGGTCCTTGTCAAATAACAATAACACGTAAAAATCAAGCACGAATGATAATTACGGAAAAAAGTCAAGCTGCTCAACAAGTTCAAGCAAGACGTGTCTAAAAATAATATCTCAAGAAATGATATGATTAGTTTAACTTTTAAATGTATCAATGAAATTTGTTCAACATGTCTAGTCATGTGACAAGAAATTAATTCTACGGTGTTTTTTGTAGAAGAAAAATCTGAAAAAAATAAAATGCGAAATAAAAAAAAATGTAGTCTATTATTTTCTTTCTTTCTTTCTCTTTCGTTTCTTTTTTTCTACATGTTTGTCCGTTTGTTTGGATTATTTGGTCATTTGTTAATTCATTTTCTATATGTTTATTGTTCCTTTCTTCTTCTGATGAATATTTGTATGATTGGTGTCGTACATTCTTCATTTCTTACTTATCTTTTGATACGTTTCCTGTTTGAATATGAATACTCGCACATGAGTGTCTCTTTTTTTTTTGTTTTCTTATCAATAAAATAGAACATGTTTGAAATTAATATATTTATCTTCACGGCTTGTCATATAGAAAGAAGCTTTTTTTTTAAATATGATGACTCTCCAGTGTACTCATATATATATATATATTCGAGGAAGTAATACAAATTTCTCAATGTGAAGCAAAAGAAATATCTTTGCTATTCTTAATAGATATCTCATATTTATTGCTTTACAAATTTTAGAAGGCAACGAAGAAATAAAACATCAATGACAACAATTACTGTTTTCTATATATTATATGAGAATGACTTATATTGCACGAAAAATTGTAACTTCACTTGAATCATATGCTGAAACAGCTAAATCTGAACGTGATAAATTCAAAAATTTTATACCAACCAATTGACTATTTTCAATACGATGATTACATTCATGAGATATCTAAAATATAATATAAAAGAAATTGAATTACGAATTTAAAATGAAAAAATAATATTTACTTGTAAATTCTCAGCATCACCAGATAGTTTCCAAATGCGAACGTAACAATCATCACTTACTGATGCAAGTAAACCTTGTTCATTACAATCAATTGCATTGATACATCGTGCATGAGCATTAATAGAACCACACATTTGAGCTATTTATAGAATATAAATTTTCTTCAATATGTACAACAAGAAATGTTTAAAATGGCAGTTCCCTTCATCTCTATTTTCTATCACTTTCAAGAATAGCTACTCATCTTTCGTCCTATAAACTGGAACCTAATGATAGGATGCTCAAAAATTAAATCAAAATTCTCTTTTACCATTTTCAGGATCAAAAAATCGAATCATTCCATTAGCATAACTAGCTGCAATACAATTATTCCATATTGCTAACGATGTTACACCACTTTCATCGACTGATTGTATTGCATTTATTTGTGACATTGTACGAACATTCCAAATAAGTATTACACCACTCGTATCACTTGATATCAATAGATGAGCATTTGATACTAAACTTGTTATACCAAATTGATGACCTAAATTTTTATATTAGAACAAAAAAAGAAGTTTATGTTTTTTTCTATTACCAGTTATAGTTTCTTTAAGAGTTATATTTGTTCCTTTTTGAGGAATATTAAATACAAGAACTTCACCTTGATGATTACCTACGATCAAACGTTGATTACTTTATATTTACCAAAAAAAAGGTCTTATCTTACCAACACATAATAAATTTTGACCAATGCCTGCAATTCCACGAGAATAAGTTGATGATTCTAAAATAAACATAGTTTATGTATGAAAATATTGTTGAAATTTCTTACCTGTTCGATTAGGATGATTTTTGTCAAGTATATGAGTATATAAATTTGTTGTACCATCCAATTCATAAATCTATGTATATAAACAATTACAAACGAAATCAGTTATGTATTATTTATTTTACTTGAATACTTTTTGTACAAGCAAGAACAAGTATATTACGAATTGGTAGATTAACAAATGCAGCCTAATGAAATGAAATAAAATTCTATAATTTCTTTTCTTTTCTTTACTTGAATTATATAAGCAATAAATCGAGCATCATTTTCCGGTGCAGGAGTATTATTATTTCCTACAGCTCGACATATAACTTGACCTTGTATTTGTTTTGTACCATCTTCAGATACAGTTACCTGAAATAAAAAATATCGATAGATTTATTTTTCAAGGTAAATTTCTACCATTGTAAAACCACTTTTATGTGATAAACCATACATTGTTGATCGACGTGATTCAGTAGAACGATTAATAGTTAAATTATTGCTTATATGTGATGCACTCCATTTAACGGAAATATTTTGTGATGATTTTTTTAATGAAAGAGACATTTTTTAAGATTTTATATCTAGAAATAAACAATAGTTAAGCATTCCTTCTTTTTACATATTGGAAGTCTTAATAATATCATTAGATTATAAGACTAGAGCGACATATTTCTATTCTAGACTTCTAATATAAGTCAGCCATGAATGTGTATCGTTGCATAGAAATACCTCCAATGAATTTTTCTCACACACTAATGCATTTGATATATAATAATAAATTTTTCGAAAATTTTCATATATAAAATTTAAAAAAAGATTATCTTTTTAAAATATTTGTAAAATTTTTTCAATGAATAAGAGTGGACAAAAAAAATTTCATATCTTTGTTTACCTTGTTTATTTTTTATTCTTCTTCATTGATTCTTTCTCTCTTGTACACTACACTTTTTCTATTCATTTGTAATAACATCAATATCTCTTTTTTTTACTGCCTGTTTTTTTAGATATAAAATAAAAATCTCTGTTGAAAAATGTCATCACCATTAATTCAACCAGAAAAATTTCAACACATTCTTCGTGTTCTTAACACAAACATTGATGGTCGTCGTAAAGCTGGTTATGCTTTAACAGCTATTAAAGGTGTCGGCCGTCGTTTTGCTCATGTTGTTCTACGAAAGGCTGATGTTGATGCATCAAAACGTGCCGGTGAAATGACTGAAGAAGAAGTTGAACGTGTTATTACAATCATTGCTAATCCACGTCAATATAAAATTCCAGATTGGTTTCTCAATAGACAAAAAGACATCAAAGATGGCAAATATTCTCAAGCAACATCCAACAATCTTGATACAAAAGTTCGTGATGATTTAGAACGTATGAAAAAAATTCGTGTCCATCGTGGTCTTCGTCATTACTGGAATTTACGTGTACGTGGTCAACATACAAAAACAACTGGTCGACGTGGTCGTACAGTCGGTGTATCAAAAAAGAAAGCGTAAACAATATTTATTGTTTTGTTGTTTTTCTTTTTTTTTATTAAATTGAAAACAAGAAATAAAAATCAACAACAACAGCAGCAGCAATAATGCATAAACACTAAAACAACATTGATTTTGTTGATATTTTCTAGATTTAAATTTTCTCTTTCTATTCAATATGACACAATTTTTACCACCAAATTTACTTGCATTATTTGCACCACGTGAATCAATTCCATTTTTACCGCCAAATGACAAATTACCACATGAAAAAAAACGTTTACCCTATGGAGGATTATTAGATTTTACGAATACATTTGAAGTAAAATAATTAATAATAAAATATTTCTAAATCTTTAATTTTATTTTTGTAGGAATCATATGAAACACCGCCACCAACAAGAATTGAAACAAAAGAAGAAAAAATTGCTCGAAAAGTAAAGAAATTTAATTTTATCAATTCTTATTGAATTTATGTTTTGTTTTAGGCTCGAGAAAAAATGGAAAAAGCAGCTCTTCAACTTGAACAAGATATAACTTTATGTAATACATATTCAATTAATTTTTGAATGAAAAATAATGATTTTGGTTTTTTTTCATTTCTTAGGGGATCCAAATACTAATGACAAAGCTACAACAGATCCATACAAAACATTATTTATCGCTCGACTTGTAAGTGAAAATTTCATTAAAGAATAAAATTGATTCTATCGATTTTCTTTTTTTTTCTAGAATTATGATACATCTGAATCAAAATTAAGACGTGAATTTGAAGTATATGGAAAAATAAAAAGTGTATGTTAATTGATATATTTAATTCAAAAAAATTATTTATTTATTTGAATATTCTAGATAAATCTAGTACATGATGTGCAAACTGGTAAACCACGTGGTTATGCATTTATTGAATATGAAAAAGAAGCCGATATGCACGGTAGGTGATCTAATAGATACTAGAGTTTAGTTTATCTTGATATCGAATAGAGAAATTTTGACTTCAGAATTTTTTTGATTTTATGATAGAAGTATTCAAAGTAATTTTCAAAAAAAAAGAACTTAGTTTTGTTTTTACATATATACAGGTGAGTGAGAATGTTTCGTCCCTTTCTTTTTCGATTCAAATTCTTACACAGGTTTGTTGAATAATTTCTTTTCATTCGCTTAACATGAGTTAATACGTTCGATTTATAAATTCGTCCCATTTGTTTCGAGGCTATTGTCCGTTGCCTGTTTGTCTTCTAGACACGCAACAGCACCGATGCGTGTGAGACACACTCAGTTGTTTTGCTGAAACCATTTGTGTACGTATAAATCTACATATAAAATATGGAAGAATCAGACAGGTATATGGACTTTTTTCTTAATGGAAAACTAATCAGCGCCAAAATGCGCTTTTCCATAGAAAGAATTAAATTTATTCGAGGTTTGTATATATATGTATATATATTAAAATCGGGTAAGAAAAGAAATGGGTAAGCTTAAAATACGTTTACAGAGTATATGATCACCAAATCTTAAACCCTTCGAAAATAAAAAAAAGGTAATAAACAATTAATACAGGTGAGAAACATATTCAGATTTATCTTTTATAAATTTTTTATTCTTTTTCTATAATCCCATCCCACCTTTTTTCTGCAAAAATAAAATACAAAAACTCGTGAGTAAATGAAGTCTACTACCTCAAATTTTCCTCCTTGAAAACCAAAAAGAAAAGAAGCAGCCTTTGTGTAAGATTAGCAAAATGAGGGTAAGTCGATTGCGGTAAGAAAAAAAAAACATGGTCAAATGGTCGATGATATTTTGTTGTGTTGACGGTAAGAACTTCACTTTCAGCGGCATACAAACGAGCTGATGGACGAAAAATTGATGGTCGACGTGTTGTTGTGGATGTTGAACGAGGTCGAACAGTCAAAGGATGGCGACCAAGAAGATTAGGTTTGTATTTTTTTATATTTTGTAAATAATAATTAATGAAATAAATTTTGATTAGGTGGTGGTCTTGGTTCGACACGTCGTGGTGGTGCACCTGGAGGTAAACGTACTGGAGTTGAAGAACGACGACGATCATCATCACGAGATCGAAAACGACGATCAAGATCTCGAGGTAAATTAATAATATAAAATTTTTTGTTGAAAATAAATTCTGTATTTTTAGATCGCCGACGAAGTCGAAGTCGTGAACATAAACGTCGTATGTATTAAAATTATAATCTTTTGATTTGGTTTCTTTTCTCCTTCATATCTAGGTCGAACTCGATCACGTTCAGCAGAACGTCGTAGTGAACGTCGTCCATCACGCGATCGTCAAGATTCTTCAAGACGTCGATCACGTGAACGTGAACGCGGTGGTGGTCGTCGAACGGGTAATTTTCGAGGTGAGAATGAACCACATAACAATAATGGAAATGGACCACCACATGATACATTCGGAATAAACGAAGGTTATTAAAGGGGAAAAAAGCTTATACGTGAATATATAAATGTCTGTGTGTGTGCGTGTGTGTGTGTGTATGAAACAATTTGTTTTTTTTTCGTGTATAAAAGCAAAAGAAGATGATTCTTGTTTTCTCCTCTTGTCGCGTTTATTATTTGTCTGTTCGATTTTTTTCTTATATATATATATAAAGTCTCAGTCATCGATTTGATAGATTTTCTTTTCATAAAAGCCCCATGATATAGATAAAAATTAAAGACTTAATGTAAAAGTATAAATTTTTTCAAACAATGGCTAGAGTAAGATTGTATTGATCTCTACGAGTATTCGGAATCAAAAACAAATGTTTGCTATCTAATTATATATCAGTTTGGCATTATATTATATCGAATAAAAGTTATACATACTATCAATGATGTTTTTTTTCATGCGGAAAAATTAGTGCAACTACACACACAATAGTACAATATGATTCATTTCGACTAATAAATAAAACAATGAAACGTCTTTTATTTTACACAGCCTTTGAATGACAGTAGAAAAACTAAAATATTTTTATAAACAAAAAATCTAACCGTGATCCTGATTAGAAACAGATACTATCATTTATCAGGCGAAATACATTTTGATTGTGTTTTAAAAATATGACAATAAAAAGATTACGATCGATGTTAGTTTTTTTTGTAGAAAATGAACATGGAAGAAGATGAATTAAGATTTTTTTTCATAATGACACCAAATAAAACTTTTTCGAATCGATGACGTAAATCAACCTGTCGAGTAACTCCAAATCCCGTAGACTGTTTTGGCAGAAAATTATAGATTATATCTTTAACTTTAAAGTAAAAAAGAAATGATTTATATTGTAATTAACATAATTTACTATTTCATCTTATTAGTTGTATGAGATAGACAGACAGATAAGAAATATCAAAATAAGCTAGAATGTTTTGCTATGCTATTCCATTAGACACGTATCTGTACGCAATTTAAAGCGAAATAAAAAAAATGTTCTAGTGAAGTGTCAAGTGCAAGGTTCCACGTTATTGGACACGTTTTTTTAATTTGTACGATCACGTGTAATAGCGAAGTTTTATACGAAAAAAGCGATTTCAATCAGCTGTTTTGAAAATAAAAACATAAATTCTAAAAGACATACACCGAAAATATGACGCAATATAATTTTCTTCTGCACAATATCAAATTGTTTAATCATTTGTTTATACATTCATTTATAATATCAGTACAATACATCATTCTTACTTATGAATCACTTTTCCGTTTCGAAACATATCAAATCTCTAACATAATTTAACGTAAATTTCTTTAGTTTTTTTATAAACACCCACAATCACAAACTGACTTTATCATAATCAAAAAATGTAAGATTTTTTTAATCTCAGATTTTTTGATTAGTGAAAGTTTTAATTGAAATATCAAATGTTAAAAATGGGTCATTCTAATTCTATAATAATGAAGATGGTAATCACAAACGAAAATTTGTACTTATATGTCAATATATAATATCATTTTTGAATATAAATCTTACGAAAACAATTGACAAGGCACCTGTCGTTTTATCGATAATCGAGAAGTATTAGAATTATAGCAGAAAATATTTGTAATCGTTAAAAATATTTTGTATAGATTAAAATAGATAAAGCGTAATTAAGTACATAAATTTCTATGGTCATTTTTTAAATATCGACTAATTATTAGGATAATACTTTATTAACACTTGTAGATGTTTTTAAAAGCCTGTGAAATAGTTATACTCCTTTAAATAAAACAGAATAATTTTGCCCAGATACTCTCAGTTAAGCTTCTCTTTGTAATAAATAAAATCTATTAATTAATAACATATTTATCATAATAAATAATAATTATAGAATTTGACAATGAAAAAATAAAAAAAGCAATAGATGTACAAATTCTTTTTAGATCGAATCGTTCTTTTGGTTTTGAATTTGAAATTGTTTATTAAATTGAAAATATCAGGATATATTACCATGATTATTCGCTGATTCAGATACATTTGTTTGTTGTATATTAGTAGTAGTACTGGTAAAAGAAACACTATTCATTGCACTTGTATTATTTAATGATGAGATATTTGTATTTAATTGACTTTGATAATTAGTACTTGTATCATTATTATCTTCAATTTCTAGAAATCATATTTAGATTTATATATGATGAATAGTATTTATCTTACTTTTATAAGTACGTGGATCACCACCATTTAAACTTGCACTCATAATTTATGAAAACACGTGAGATTTATCAGTTAATCGTGCAATTGTCAGCCGAGCTGTATTTAAAATAAAAATAAGATAGACGATTGATGCTACTATTGTAGATATACAAGTATTTCAACTTGACAGTGAAAGTAGCAAGTTGAATGTTATCTTTTTCTCGTATTTTTTTTTCTAATTCTTTCAATAACCATTATACAAATACGAACGGAGAATAATATTCGTTATCATAATAATAATACATGACAGAAGGAGTAATGTCTCGACAGATTTTTAAAGTATTCTATTATTTGATGCGCTATTTTCTATTGTCGCGTGGATAGTCACGTGAATTTTAATGATAATTTTTCAAATGTACTATTTAAATTAATAATTATTCTTCGGGGTAAGTCCATAGGGATATGAAAGAATTGTATACATACCGAATATATATATTTTATCAAAATTTTCTTAACTGAGAATGTCTTTTATAGAATGAAAATGAGAATATTTAATCGACATACCAATCATTTCTTTCGCCCCTCTTCATCTGTCATAATGAGTGGGTTGAAAGTTCCCAGACATAATATGTTAGTTCATTTTTAATGTACTGGAAAATATGTCTCATGAATTAAAATCTATGAGGCAGGATTAGAATTTTTTGTTCTTTCTAGCTAGAAAATTAGAAGTGTTGTCTTAGGTTTTATTTGAAATAAGCTAAAGGGTTGTAAATGATGATTAGAATATTTGTGACATAGATTTAGACATATTACGTTGGTTTTTTCTTGAAGATTAGTAAAATATCTTTTGAGAAGATTACAAGATGTCCTAACAGCTATAGCCACTTATTATAAGCGTATAGTTTCACTTTGGATTGAACTTCTTTCAAAATATTTTTTTGTCTAAGACAGAGTATTAATTGGTTTTTATTTTTTGCGGATTAAGTTCATTAATATCATAGGAAAAACAGTACACTTACATACAACACATCAATTCTGTTATTTTTAATAGTTTTGTATAGTTTAGTGTATTCATATAAAGCTGGATAGAGTGTTGAATGCTTTATCGGATCATATAATATATATTCTATTTCATTGTTTGTAATTCGAACAGTTGATAGATTTCAAGAGGTAATCAACAGATTTTTTCATATGTATAAACAATTTTCCATATGATATCTTTAAGACTCATATATCATAAGAACTCTTTTCGACTAGCAAGCTAATACTGTATCAATCCAACTTTGATTAATGAAGAATATGACATGAATTTCTGTTTGTATAGCTTTGACTTCTCTCCGATTAATAATTTACATGCACCGTCTTTGGTCCTGGTCTACATCTGTCGAGACAGAAGTTTGACTGACGAAAATAGATTTAGCAATAACATGTCAATTTTCTTAATGATTTTCCTCATAATGATTGTTGTTTGCGATGTTTTTTCTCGAAAAATTTTAATTTTGGCTTCAGAATTCCTTTGACTGTCGATCTTTTGCTTGATATTAGACAAAATCGGCTGAGAGACATGTACTTCATCGAGTATCAAAACTACATCTTTGAGCAATATCGGAGATTTTATTAAGTAACATTTGCTTTAAATGAACTTTTATGCATCGAACGAAACAGAAACAGTCTAATTATCATTTAATAGCAAAGAACAAAGAAGTCGTTCTACATGTGACGTATGCACGTGACATCGGGAAGCTATGAATAAATAACGTGACCGATCCTTAATATAAAAATTACTGAGTAAATTATTTAAAAAGTTGATTTGAAACTTATTGCATAAAAAAATCTTTTTGACTGTCTAATGAAATAAAATGTAAACTATATAATTGAATAGAACCGTCAACGCTCTATCCATCGATATCAAAACAAGAAACTTCCAATGTTATACATGAATGATACAGAAAACTGTACAAAACTATTAAAAATAATCGAATCAGCTTGCATGTATTGAATTTTTAGTATATTTACTAGAGTATCTATTATTTTGTTATGATTTTTTAGATATCATACAATCCAATATTTATTTTTAAATTGAACTAATGAAACTATAAAAATATATGAAAATGGTCACTGGTCACGTATGTCTTGTCGATCGTTCGAAGGTTCTGTTACATAATTCGAACAGAAAATATACTCTAGCAAGTCAAAAATGAACAAATGGTTTATCTTATTATTCTTTAACATTTAAATATATAGATGTATGTATAATATTAATTGAAACCTTTCGATTCATTCAACAATCATTTCGTGTCACCATTTTATATGCTTTAATACTTGTTTTTTTAGCAAAAAAAAAGTGAGTAATGAAATCAACGCAAGAGAGAAAAAACAAACACAACAAAAGAGTTGAAGATTCTCATGTATGTGACGATGTATGTTGTTCGCTTGTGCAATATATAGAACAAACATCAGTAGCAAAAACAAAACAGAAAAACAGACAGATAGACAAAAGCACTCACACACATGATTAACGCCATCAATGAAAGTGAGAGAAAGAAACGAGGCAAAACGAACTAGATTTATAGAAACAGAAGAAAAAAAAGAATAACTGAATATGAAATCCACATGTCAAAGACAAACTAGATGAGGATCACAAAAAGAAAAACCAATTTTCAAGACAATATAATAAGTTTTCTTTTCTTTTTTTCTGGTTGCTGGAAGACAAATGAATAAATACGGATGATGATTTATATATCTATATGCATATATTTTCTTGAACTTCATTTTTTCTAACGATGAATACCATTTCGCTATGTTTAAGATGAATAGAAAGAACATATACAAAAAAAAAAAAAAGAAAAAGAAATGAAGGATAACAAGCGGAAAAATCAGCAACCAGAAAAAATGAAAGATGAACATATACGTACATTAACTCGACAAAATACGTGATAACAATAATAATAATAATAATAATGAAAAGACGTGTGTAGTTTTTTTTAATAGCTTTTTTTTGTCTGAGAGAAATGTAAATTTATTTTGTTGGATGGAGTAGCAGTATAGAAATAAACAAACAAACAAACAAACAAGAGAAAAAAACAGAAATATAAAAGACAAAAAATCGATTTTTATAGTGTTGCCGATGTCGTCTTTATGTTTTTATGTATTTTCCTTTACTGTTCTTTATTTAAGACCATTACTTTGATGTTTAGTCGTTTTTTGTCCTTTTGTTATATTATTATCATTACCATTACCATTAACTGTTTCATTTATGGGTGATGTTGCTCCATTAGCTGAATCTATTCCATTATTATTATTGTGTAATGATGATGGTTGAGATTTTCTTGATGTTGAATTTTGTTGTGACTGTCCGCTATATCCATAACTATCTTCATAATATTCGCTTGGGTTATTATTATAATTTCTATTGTATCCACCACCTCGTTGACCACGAGAACCACGATTATTATTATATCGATTGTTGTTATTATTATTATTACGGTAAGATGATGATGGATCGTTATACTGTTGTTGACCTTCTGAAAAGAAAAACTTTTAAATTTTATTTCAACAAAAACAATTTAACAAACCATTTGTCTCTTGTGTATCATATGAAACATTTTCATCATCATTATCTCGTCGTCGTTCAGTATAACCTATAAAATGAAAAAAACAAAATTATTAGTTGAGAATTTAATTTCATTCGAAAACAAAAATATTGATTAACATCATTCCAAACATGCTCGTATTTTAAATGAAAAAGAAAGTAAACAGAAGGATTTGTTTTAATTATTTTCATACATTCGACATATTATCTTGTTATAAATATGCAAGTCTACATTATAGATAGACATTAATAAGGTCAGAAAAGCAGCGAAAGAAAACAGATAGTAATGATTGATACACCTCTTTCACCATGTGCTAATCTAACACGGTTCCGTCCGTTTCGTCTGCGACGTTGTCCTCCTCGTTTCATAGTAGGTTTCGGTTGTGACATCGTAACAATACGATTAGCAGACATTTCTTCTTCTTCGTCTTCACTTTCAACCTGATCTGCCCAGCTACGATGTTTTCGAGTGACAGTAATTGTCGACGATGAACAATCAATAAGCTCATTCGTTTTATCGTCGGGGAGAACTGCTATCATTTCTGTAACTGTTATAACGGAATAAAATTTGTTTTCATGAGAAAAAAACATAATAAAGCCTATACAAAATCTCATGCTATCATTAAACGTACCAGTTTCGCCTTGCGGACCAGTACGATATGCATTTGTACCGGCACCTCGACGTCCACGATTACCATTTCCAGTTGGATAATTATTTGATCGACGTGTTTGTTGACTGTTATAATTATCATTACGTGGTTGTTGTTGTTGTTGTTGATAGCCTGTATCATGATAATTACGTGTATTCGCTGAATTATTCATTCGATCTGAATCGTATCTATAATAAATTAAAATTCAAATAATAAATAGATTTTATTTCTAAAAAAAATATTTACCGTTGTGAACGTCCACCTTGATAACCTGAATTATTAATCGTTGTGTTTACATTAGGACCTTGTGGACCAATAATAGTACGAAATTGTTCATTAACTTGAATTTTTTTTTCTTGTAATTCATCAAATTCCTTTAAACAGGACATATGATAATCAAGTAAAACTTTTGCATTAGTAACACTTTCAACAGTACCAACAAAAACAAATGGAACTTGCGTCTATTATTCAAAAAGAATATAATCATAATGAAATTAGAAAAAAATAAATCTTACAGGATAAGTATTTTCATCTCGTGTTGTTGATTGTTCATTATCACCTTCAATTTTAACGCGAATAACTCCACTTTTATCAACAATTTCTTGGATAATATGTCCTTTTTTACCAATAACTTTACCAATAAGTTCTCGAGGAATTGTTACAGTATCTTCAATATATTCAAGTAAACTACGTGCTTCTTTAACAGATTTTTCTGACTAAAAATAAAATAAAATAGTTTCTATAAAAACAAGAATTTGTTTTTTTTGACTTACATCACCAAATACTTTAAATGTGCAAGTATCGTCTTCAACCTCAATTCCTGTTATACCGGGTACCTCTCGTGCTTTTGATATATTTGAACCATGCGTACCAATAGCAAGACCCATTAAATCATTTTTAAGAGTAAATTTTTCGAAATATTTTTCTGTCTGATTAACTTTCATAAGCTAAAAAAGAAATAATTCAAATATATATAAAGAGAGAGATGATTGAAATTAATAAATACTTCAAGTTGCTTCGAAACTTTTTCAGTTTCTTGTACAAGTTTAGCTTTTGAACGTAAATTTCGAAAATGCATTTCGGATAGGATTTGAGCACGACGAAGAGTAGCATCGTTATCTGACTAGAATAGTCAACAAATATAAATATTAGAAAAAGAAACGATTTAATAAAACAGAAACATACGATGACAATAAGTGATTCTTTCTGTTCATCATATCGAACAACAGCAGCACCTGTTGTTCGTTTAAAATCTTTATGATTTGCTGGATTGCTACATCTATTTGTATATAAAAACAAATGAGAATTTGTTAGATATTTTCAAATTGTATTCTTACACTTCTCGAATATCTTTGCCAACGGATAATTCTATTCGTTTAAATGATGCAGTAGTTATTGGAGGACTAAATAGATTATTTCATGACATAAATATCTAATCAAACGATATATATATATATATATATATACTTTGTATTTGGACAACGGATTTTATCACTAGATACAATATCCGAATAACTGGCACCTTGAGCACTAACTTTATAATCAACAACGAAAAAGTCACCTTTAAACATCTTAGCAATGGCTGGCCACCAACCAAGTGGTTCATCTTCTTTAGCTTTAGAGAGTACCTAAAGAAATAAGAAAGACATCTATATAGATATATGATTTCGATAGACAGTTTCGAAAAAACATACTTCGCATTGATCTCCAGGTGATAATTTTTTGAGATCAATAGATTCAGGCGGAAGTCGAAGGCGATTCTCGGAAAATGGAATTTTTGTTGGAGGGAAAAAACTAATGAATGAAAAGAATAACTGTATTTTTAAAATTTAAATCATTTGATTAATTTACTCTTGATCATATTTAACATCGACACCACTTTCATCCATACCAATTACATATGCCTATGAGTAAAGATATGTTATTCATATAAACAATAGTTGGTTTTACTCACTTTGTAGTAGGCACCATTTGGATGTCCTACTTCAACGCTGAGATCGTCCATTTTATATTTAATTAAATACCCTATTAGAAATAATTATATTTGATCAGATCGAACGCCTTAATGAGGCGGCAACAACAATAGAAAATAGTATAATATATACACTCTAATGCATGCAATTGACAATCGACTAATATATTTCTGTTTTTTCTTTTGTATAGAAAAATAAGAGATATTATCTTGAAAAGAATAAGAATATATATATATTATACAACAGATCATACAAAATGAAATCGTAAAACTAGTTGTTAATTTCCAACATGCTGTTTTGTAGGAAAAAATCTCTTTTTTTTTGTGACTTCAATGATAAAACGATAAGAAGAGTGGACTGATGGTGCCTGTCTGGGTTTTTTTTTCTACTTTTCTATGTCTAATAAAAAAAAGAGTTCGTATAAGAGTAGAAATGTAAAGAGAAATTGTTTGTTTATTTGCTTTTTTTTCTCTTCTCTTACTAATAACTACTGGCTACTAGGTTATTCAATGGTAAATTATGGAATAAACCTCTATTAAAGATAAAAATGGCAGAAAAAAAGATGAAATTTTAATTATGAATTGATATGTTTTAAAGATTACAATTAGTTTCAACAGAGATTTACTTTCAGCTGAGATAATCATAAAAATATATTTAACATCTTAGATGTCGCACCGTAACATATTGACTCAAGGTTACTGTAAAGATGGAAAAATAAAAAAATAAAAAAATAAGAGAATTTAGTATATGTATGTAATCTTAAGAACACCATGATAATTAAGTTTGCTTTTGTAATGGATGAATCGGTTGCGATGATGATGATGTTACTGTTGTAATAGGCAAAATTGCTGCCGTATGTTCAAATGCATTATTTGTTTCCGATAAGTCATGCACAGTTTGTTCATAAGATGGTGGTTTGTCATATAAAGTCTCAGTTACTGTTGTACTATAAGTAGGTGGATATACATAACCCTGTGGCATTTGTTGTTGATCTTCGGTATTATTAATTGGAACAACTGTTGACATAGATATTTGTTGTTGTTCTAGAATAGAAAAGGAATAGATTCGAAATAAAAGTATCATTTAATTCTCTATACCTCTTCTAACTTGTTTTAATTTATATCGACGATAAATAGCAATTAAAAGGACCAATATTAAAATACACACTGGTATAACAATTCCTACGGCACTAAAAAAAAAA